CATGTCGGAGCAGGCAAGAAAGAGGAAAAGGGCTCTCTACCGCAATAGACATGGTGATTCGTTGCGTTCGCCTGTCTGCTAAGCTCAAAACAACCGCGCCTGGCTTGACGGAGAAACCAGGAGAACAGCTGAGCATATTTACGACAGTGCACTTTTACTTTCGCCCTCTGGGGGGAGCCTCGCTGGAAAATCAACACCGGTTGCATAGTGTACGTTTAATTTGAGCAGGTAAATAAGGTAATCTGCCAATGAGTTTATATATTAAATAAGACAATGCTATTGTTTTTTCTTATTTCAAATGTAAATTGTTTTGTTCCACTGGCAAAGTGTCTCCCTTACGGAAGAGGATTAGGGCCACTGGAAAAAAAAAGTTTACTGATTTTAAAATTTTATTTCAGTTTAGTATGGAAAAAAAGTCAGAATTCTGACTTTTTTATTGTCAGAATTCAGTCAGAATTCTGGGATTAAAATCAGAATTCTGAATTCATGAAAAAATGCACTTATTCTAAGAAAAAACAACTTATTTAGATTTTAAAAAATTGCAGTGCAATGATGGCAGAAATGGACTCTAAAGGCTGGGAACTAAACATGAAAGGAGCATCGTTTTAGGTCACGTCTGATTCATGAATTCATCTTTTAAATCATTCAGCTAAACATCAACATCTGAATTTTATTTGTTCATTTTCATATTATTTTTATTTATTCCAGAGGCTGCAAATCTGGAAAAAATAGGTTCAAATTTTTGCCAGATTTGAGTTATTTCTGCGACTATTCTGGGTTTTTCCTTTTGTCACGTCTTATAGTCACACTGCAAAAATGGTCTAAAAATGAAATTTTTTTTCTTAAAATCAGAGCATTTAACCTTCATTTGAGTAGATAAATAAGTTAATCTGCCAATGGAATCAGTATTTACCCTTAAAATAAGATAAGCAGATATGATCTTAAAATAAGAGACTGCAGTTATTTTATCTTATTCTAAATCTAAAGTGTCTCCCTTAGATTGCTACATTTTAAAAATAGACGTGTTTAGTTTTCATTTAAGCCCATTTTCATTATAGCCTGTTGTTATTTTTAAAAAATAAATAAAAACCATCAAAATAATTAGTTTCATCCAGACTCTTTTCTTGTGGTTGGACCCGGTGCTGCCCCAACTTGTTTTTCACAAAGTTAAATGTGACGCTGTTACCATTAGTTATAAAACTAAGAAAATGAAGTCTAAGGAAGTTTTCATCCAGAATGATAGAAAAATGTTCCTTTAATAGAGTAGAGCAATAAAGATTCTGGCCTAAACATTTATTACTGTATTAATTTTACTTTTATAGTTTAAGTAGTTTTAAAAAAGGGTATTTTTACACTTTTACAGAAGTAAAAAGCTGAAGTCGATCCTGCTGATACAAGCTTTATATCGGGGGGGTTTAGGCTGAGGTGCGTTCAAGTTTAGGCCCAGATGAAGAATCAGTGGCTGGGGGTCAAAGGTCAGCGTTTCATTTGATTGAAAAGATGCTGAAGTCTGTGTGGATCCTGAAAGCTGGGATCTGATCTACAATCATTAAATAAGTGGATCTATAAACGACCTGCTGAAATAAAATCTGTAGAAATAAACCTGATAGAGAGGAGTGTACCTGGACCCGGCCTCCTCATATCCATGAGTTATCCCAAACACGCGGATATTTGAGAAATATTCACAGACATATTTCTCTGAAGGATCCTTTTCCAAGTCGGAACATAAACAATGAATGAAGGAGCTGGATAAAATCATCCTTCTGGCTGCAGAATCGAGTCCAAAAACTCAAACCGTAACGTTCAAATCAACAGAAAATTTAATAAAATTCATAAAAGTACAGAACTTCAACATTTTTACATAAATTCCCTTTTTCCATCATGACCCTGCTGAGATCATGTTAACGTGTGCAGAGAAGACGCTGCGCCTGATCAAAGGCGACTATCGCTCAGAAAGCAGCGACTATCGCAGCTCATGACGCCGATGGCAGGAAGAACACTTTATATGATAGATTATCTCTTTATAAATATCATTTTTATACATTATGGATGGAAAATCCATCAATGAACCAAAGGAACAAAAAAAAGACAGAAAAGGAACTAATGTTGTAAACCAGAAAGAAAATAGAGGAAAAAAGGATCAAAGATCCTTATTTCCATAATAAGGATCATCTGCATTAAAGCAAGGCAGGAAATTCAAACTCATTAATTCATATCTGATCACAATAAAAAAATAGATTCTAGTTTAGGTCCAACAGAACCAGAACGGCTGCAGTCCCACAGTGGGAATTTAGCAGGAACTCCTCTGATTCGCTGCTGAGATTCATCTGACGGCTCCTCAGACTGAACCCATCCAGGCCTCCGTGGTTTAGACCCGGTTCTAACCAGAACATCTGAAAAATCCTGGTTTTAATCAACTGTTGATGGAAACACTGGTTTTAGAAGCTGAAGGACTGTGGATCCAAAACCGAATCAGATCAGAGTCCCACGGGGCCCGATGGCGGCCCCAACCCGCCCAGACGGGCTCAGAGCACGGCTCAGCCATCAGCAGCAGGACAAGAACCAAAGCGGGCGTTCCTCAGGGCTCCGTTCTAAGGTCCTTTAATATTCAGGAGCTCCCATTGGTTGGTGCCATCAGGACTCACTGATGCTCCGCCTTCTGATGGGCCTAAAACAAGCGTAGATCTATGACAGCTAGATGAGAACGCTGGGCGAGGAACAGTGGAAGCGCTTCAGTCTCTACTTTGGCTACTTGTGCATTTAAACAGCTTCTAAGGTGATTTTATTGGCATCTAAACATCATTTCTGATCAGATCAACTTTTAGTTTAAATATTTCCAATCAAAACTTTGACATTAAATTCCCACTAGACTGGAAAAAAAAACCTGCAACCCAAATTCAAAGCAAGTTAATCCTGTGATAAATGTGTTGGTGAAAAAGGGAAACATCTTTAATACTTGATCAGGAAGCTGCTCTGCTAATGAGGAGGTTAACGTTCCTGGAGGTCAGCCGAACTTTTCCATGTTTTCCTGAATGAACAGGGTTCTTCTAACGGAACCAAACCAGAAATCCAGACTCTCTTCCTCCACCCTTTTATTTCCAACAACGCCCCGCCATATTCCTCCACTGGACCGGTTCTGCTCCACCAGAACCAGGAGCTACGGAGCGTTATGTCCGAACCTTCGGAAAACCCTGACGTGGTTTTCCAGGGTGGAGTCTCTGCTGGAGGAACGCTCTGCTAAAACCCGACTCCTGCTCCTTTCTGGCTCCTCTGAGGAGGACATCTGGCAGCCATGGATGAAAGCTCCATCAGATCTCTTTCCAAAGGCTCCATCCTTCCCTCTCCATCACTCATCCACCTTTATAGACCGTCCAGCTGTCATGTCTCTGTGGGTAACTTCACCTGCTCTGGACCTCAGGCCAGATGCTGAATTAGAAATATTAAAGCAAAATGTTGCCGTGTTTCATTTTTATTTTACCTGCCATAGAATCATGAGGTTTTAATACGGGAGAAGGGGAGAAATAAATGTGCAGACGATAAATGTTTGTCTCCTCGTCACCAACTGCAGCTCCAGATGCTACATGAAGAACTGAGCGATGAGGTTGGCCACGCCCAGCAGGATGAGGGCGCTGTGGCAAATGGCCGACAGCCAGGTGAGCTTCCCCTGCTGCTTCAGGGACACCATGTGGACTAAAGCAGGGAGCAGAAACACCAAAGCCAGGCCGCAGATGGCGCCAGAAAACCTGCAGAGAGGAACGGAGAGTTAGCTCCACAGGAGGAAGATCAGACCCAACACCGCCCTCTGCTGGACACAAGTATATTACACAAACATATAACCTGGATAGAAAGAGGCTGCGCTGAAGGAAAGATGTGAACCCTGCAGTGATTATGAAGCTACAGTAGAGGATTAGGGCCATTGAAAAAATGAAAAAAGTTAACAGATTTTAAAATTTTATTTCAGGTTAATATTCTGACTTTCATTTCAGAGTTTCTGATCTTAATATAGATGGGCACCATGAGGGAAGTGATGTGGAGCAACTCAGCTTCACTGACAGAGATGTGAGATGTTTGGGAGGAACAGGAACACATTGGTGGCGACTTTTTCCGTCCCTGGGGGCCCCTGCTGATGCTATTTCATTAATGGAAGATCAGAAGGTGATTAAAACAAGAGAGCTAGTCTGTAAAACAGACATGGTTACAGCTGGATGCTAACATGTTTGTTAGCTGTCAGAATTCAGAAAGAATTCAGAGAAAAAAGTCAGGATGGAGGTGTTACTATATTTGGGTAAAAATGGCCGCTCCCAGACTCTGATCAGAACAAAAAATTTTATTTTTATACTGATTAACTCTAAATTCATGAAATCACCGCAAACGTATTAGTTTTAGGTATAAATAATGATCCATTGATTATTCCTGCGGAGCGGACTTCTCCTTTAATGAAGCTGTTAACAGATGGAGGTTCCAGGAGTCTTAAAGGAGGAGAAAGAGGAAAAACACTAAACTGTCCATCAAGCACAGTTTAACATCCGTTTTCTTCATGGTCTTCTCGCTTGAAGGCAGTTTTAGGGTTTCAGCGTTTTAGCGCCCCCCGCTGGTGAGGCCTGGTGTTCAGAGGCTGAAGGTGTAGCTTTGTGACTTTTATTCATAACTTCTAAACAGTTTTTTTCCTCACAGGTGAAGCTGATGTGGATGAAGGAGTTGATGAGAATGAAATCCAACTAAATGAACTTTACTAAGAGAAATGATCAAAGGAGGCAGAAGCTGCTTTTAAAGCAGAACCGGATGATCCGATTCGTTCTCTCATCAGAGCTTCTAAACGCTCCAAGCTTCAGCAGAGACCTTCTGGAAGCAGCCGGGGTCTCATGGAGCGGATTAAATCGGGGACCGGGGCTCTCAGGGGGAACCCTGGTCTGGTTAGGGTCTGAGGCCAACAGTCCGCCTGAGGAAGCTTCCCAGGATGACATCACCAACAGAGCCGCATACGTACCGTATAATAGATCCGATGTTGGGGTAAAACATGGCCATCAGAACGCCGGCTGCCACTATGAGAACATTCAGCACCAGAATGTGAATGAAACTGTGGAGAGAAGACCAGATGGTTAGCATTTAGCGTTAGCAGAAAACAAACAGCTGATATTTGGAAGAGAGACATAAACCCAGAGAACTCCAACAGCGGATCAGTACCTGAACCGGGAGCAGGGGTAGCTAAAATGCTAAGATAAGATAAGCTGCAATAAGAAACAGCAGCTTGTCTGATTAACTGGTTCAGCTTTAGCCTAGTAAACTAGCCCCCCCCCACCAGCGGCCATTTTTCCCTGCGAGTTGGTCTAGCCTCCATCAAAGCACCAGGCCCTAGAACTGGCCAATCACAACGCAGAGATGTGTTCAGAATTTTTGAATGCAAAGTGGGCGGGGTTCTGAGGACGTGACGACGAAGCTGCACGACGCTGGAGAAAACACAACGAGGAAGATGGCAGCAACTATTGAACAGCAGCATGAACTGCAGCAGCAGCAGCTTCCAATGGAGCGCTCCAGTGAAAGCTGCACGTTCTCTTTCTGTTGTTCAATAAAATACGTTCTAAGATAATCTGAGGCCAGAATATCATACTTTAAAGTGTCACTGTATGGTCCATTTCCGATTTAATGCGTAATTAGTAGAGGTGTAAATAATATAAATAATAATCTTTTGTATCGATGCATCGATCCAACAGCTGATGAT